ACACAATGTGACGCGTGGAGATGTAGCGGTTTTGTAAATTATCAAGTATTGTTCACTTCTGTCATATTCTTGATGGAAACAATAAGTTTTGAATATTATTGGTAGCACCCACCTACCTTATTCTCTTACATTACCAAACCCCCTCTCCTATTATTTTTGATCAACTGTTGATTAATTGAGTATATTTCTATGGCATCGAATATCACATTTCCGATTAATCGGTCTAAGCATACATGCAACATCATCTATTGTCCTGTGGAATAAGGCATGCTTTTCACCACAAAAACTAAACTACTTTCACACGAATCAAATTCGACGTGAATCAATAATTAAAATTATGAAATTAATCAGAAAATAAATTTGATTCATGTCGATTTTGTTTTTTTTTATTATTCTTCAACTCATTTTGTGAAAAAGAACCTACAGTTTTAGTCTACTATGTCCTACGTCAATAGTGTCAATGTTACTGTCATGCTATTATGTCGAACCTATGAAACACAAGAAAAAATTGTTTTCACAACGATGATGTGACGACTTCGAGGTGTGATTCCATTTATCATATCAGGGAAAAAATACTTCATTTATAGAAACAAACTTTGGAATTAATTTTTCTTCGAGACATGAATATTTCTTTGAGACATTAATCACATAGTTTTTTTAACAAGTGTTTTAGATACAGTGGCCTTTTGAAGCTGATTATGAACAAATACTTGACAGTCAAATCAACGAAGTATTTTCTTCGGAAGTCCTGAAAAACAGTTTCGATTTTGATAATTCCTTTTCCAAATATTTGATTTCTTACTTCATTTATGATCAGAAACTTTTTGAAAAGTGGACAAAATTATTTGAATTAATTAAATGACACTTATGATCAATTTGCGTAGATTTTGCTGAAAAAATCTTGGTATATTTAACATTTAAAACAAAGTCGCAAAATGAGTAGAATAGGTTAGGTTTTGACATTTGTGATTGTGCGCACATGAATAACTGAACCGAAGTCAGCAATATCCACCATAGCCGAGAATATCTACCACAGAGAAGCGACAAGGACGGCCACTCTGTGTCCCTTTTTCGTAGACGCATGCGTCGACTTGGTTGTCTCCCCGTCATTCTCGGGCTTAGTTGTCTCCATTAGTCTGTGAGCACTGAGCAAACATAATGAGATACGTAGTTACAAAAGGTACCTACCCAACTCGGTATACATTAAAGTTATGCTATTTAAGCAAGAGTTTTCAGGAGATAATTAGTTTTGAAGAATCCGTCGTGAGAGAAACAGTAGAAAATTCAATAATATTTAAGGCACTTGAAATTAAATTTAAACAATGCTCGAACAGGACAAGCGATGTGTGATATCTATAGATAAGATGGTTTTAAAATCCAATCTTTTTTTTTGATACAGGATGTGATGAAATTATTAGTTTCGAAGATATTGGAGAGGCAAATAAGAGGAATTCTATATGTAGAAATGTTATCGTTATTAGGGCTAGAGGACTTTATTCTCCCTGGAAACAACCGATTGCTTTTTTTTTCATTGAATCACAGCTACCAGCAAAAAATCTACGTGATATTTTGGATAAGTGCATTAATAAATTATCCAATATAGGTCTGCATGTTGATGGCATTATGAGTGACATGGGCTCTAACTTTTATGAATTCTCGTTATTATGGCTAGAGGACTTTATTCTCCCTGGAAACAACCGATTGCTTTTTTTTCATTAAATCACAGCTACCAGCAAATAATCTACGTGATATTTTGGATAAGTGCATTTCTAAATTATCCAATATAGGTCTGCATGTTGATGGCATTATGAGTGACATGGGCTCTAACTTTTACTAGAAACAATTTTTCATTTTGAAGGCAAAAGTACATCTTGGTCTTTTGTGCGCTCTTTTTATGAGCAAGACATAGGGCAATTTTATAGATTCGCACCAAATCTTACCAAATCACATATAAATCCAAACAATTTTGAAAAAATGAAAGTGAGTCTGGCAACACAAGTTCTAAGCTACTTGATGCAATTAGACTGCAAATCATTCCACTACAGATGAAGCAGAAATCGCACGAGAAGAGCACCGTGTTCAGTGTTGTCATTATGTCATTCATTATGAAAACCGATTTTATATTTCTTAAACATTCATTATTCTTGTTAGATGTTGACATAAAACTTCAAATAACTGCCCTCGGCAGTTATTTGAAGGAGGCAATTCACTTGCCTCCTTTTTCTGCAGACTAATCCAGCATTGATCTTACTTTATCGAAACCAGTTGTTGTTATACTGATATATCACGAAGATTTTTTCCAAAAACAAATTCCACACAAACTTGACATTTGTATAAGTATCATACATATTGTTCAAACAATACAAATGTTTGTATCCTCCTTTCGAAATATTTCCGATTCCAGATAATAGAAACTGAATTTGAAAAAAAAGTCGGAGCCAAGGATTTTCTTAGATTACCTGATCATTGACTCCACTATTAAACCCAAGACCACCACAAAGTTGAAGCTTCAGATTTCACAATTATTTATATACAAAGTTTTGAATGAAACGAGAAGTAATTGTTAATATGAGGATATAAAAAACAAAGTGGCTGCAATAACTTACGGTGAAATTGTGGCTGATTTAATCACTGCAGGTGGGCAGAATTAAACTTTTGTACTAAATTTTCGGGAGAAGCATGAAAAGAGCTGAAATTCCACTGAAGAAACAAATTCTGAATTCTGAAGATGGCCTTCTAAACTCGTATAATTATTAGTATACATGTCTGTAGTCACAGTTATAAACAACAAATATTCAGTAAGCATTGTACTTTTCATCACACAGAATTTAAAATAATGCACACTGAAACCAGGAAGCTCAATACCATCTATTGAAAAAACAATTCGGTAGAAAAGCAACTTTGTGTACATTGGAAAGTTCAGTAATTTCCCCCATTCACCACATCACAGAGTTACAAAGTGTTATTATTTACAGGAAATATATATTTTCATAAACTACACCTCAGGATTTGATCTCCACGTACTTAATTTGAAAATATATCACGACATGTTTCGCTAACACAGTAGCTTCATCACTGTCGATAAAGCTAGTGTGTTAGGGAAACATGTTTCACTAACACAGTAGCTAACACAGTAGCTTTATCACTGTTGATAAAGCTAGTGTGTTAGCGAAACATGTTTCGCTAAAACAGTAGCTAACACAGTAGCTTTATCACTGTTGATAAAGCTACTGTGTTATCGAAACATGTTTCGCTAACATGTCGTGAAACAGGTCGTGATATATTAAAGTTTGTGTAGATCAAATCGTAAAGTGTAGTTTATGAAATTACTATAGATCTTCAAAAAATTGGCCGAATCAATCAGATAAAAAAAGGAAAAATATACGTGTTTTACGATACTTCTAACAAGGCTTTGGTTTGATTTACAAAAAAATCCTATTCGTCTCTTTTGAAAAATTCAAATTTGGATGTTTGCAAGTTATTACAAGTATTTGGGTACCTAAAATATAATTTAACGTTATTCAGCTGTTTATAATTGAAACGTTGTTTTCAAATGAATTTTGTGTTTTGAAAGCTGAGAAAGAATATTTTCCAAAACATCGACGAAAGATGAGATGGGAAATGTAATTTTTTCCATTCGATATTCAATTTGTATGAAAAATTTGTGAATATAGTTTGCCCTTTATTACTCTACAGCTGATTCTCTAGTTTCAGCTTTGTTTATTTTTTATATTGTGAAAAAGCACACAGCAAAAAAAACAAGAAATAAATAGTCTTGAATGTAACAAAACTTATTTCTCAAATTACAAAATCATTTTGGCTTTCTCCAATATATTTTCAATTTTTTTTTAGGTGACACAGTGAAAGTGAAGGATCCTCGTTTTTAGCAGCTGGAGGAAAGTGTCCGATTCACTTAGCTATAGCTCCAGTCGTGAAAGAATGTGAATCACCAAATGAAGGTATGTAAGTTTAAATACTCACCAATTGATCCACCACTGTATAAAAAAGTGGACGAACGACCACATGAAAATGATTTCTCGTGAAAATAGAGGAGAACTGTTATATTCGTAGTTAGTCAAATAGTGAAAGCGTGTTAGTTACAGAAGAAATGCATCAGCTAGATAAATGTCACAAAATGTTAAAAAATTAGCGTCAACATTTGTGGGTGAGATATCGAGTGAATAAAAAATAAAACACATGGAGCATATTTCGTAATATAATCTATTTATATAAATTTGTACAAAGTTCATACAATAGACAGATCTCCAATTTTTTGGGGGTTTTTCTCTTTGAGATAGTCACGAAATATGTGACATGTACCTAGATTAATGCAAAAAGCATTTTAAATAAATAAATAATTCATAAATAGTGAATACAGCAAGAAAATAAATACTACAAACTACGTATTTTTTGCTCCGGATGCCAAACTGCTCAGTTTCGAAATGAAAGATTCTCTATGATACAGAAAAATGGAAAGCCAGAAATATTGAGAAAATAGAAAGCAACAAGCTATTGTTTAATTGAAGTTTCGCAATCAGTGGTTGATGTTCACTTATTTTTGTAAAATAATTTAGTCGAGTTCAAACAAGTTGTCAGTGAGATGAATATAAAATTATTGAATTGGTGAAACCATTGATTATAATTTCTCTGAGGAGACACCAAAATTACAGAAAGCAGCTAAATTTGAACTGAAAATCAGTGTTACACACTAGTTAGGACGGTCAATTCCTTGCCAAAAAGTACTATTAGGTACTTCATGTTCATTATCTTTATAAATAATTCCACAAAAGTTCGTGAACCACCATGAATTTTCAACAAACTCCAAAACTAAACATTTTGGCCCCAAAGACCACACCTTTGTACAGAATTTTCCGAAACAAAAATAGAATCTACACTAGATCGCCACACTACAGTCTATCACACTTTGTTAGCAACTTTGCGAGTATGATGTTTTCTAGACTTTTTCGATTTCTTACTATGCTTTAAGCTTTTGGACTCACGTGATCGTTTAGCCTCGATAACGTCCTCTAAATCAGCCTCGTCGTCATCGTCATCATCGTCGTCGTCGTCATCGTCGTCGGCTTCTTCGTCGTCATCGTCATCATCGTCATCGTCATCTGACAAACCACCTAAGTCATCGTCATCGTCNGAAGCAAAAGAGCTATATTCGATTTCTTTACAGCATCGAATAGGTTTCTAAAATACAAAACTTTGCCACAGTTTAACCGATACTCTATCTCTTATCGTTTACGATATTCCCATGTACAGAAACGAATTTGAATAGCCCTGTATAATACAAATAAGAATTAAAATGTTCGAATAAATATAATAAAGGAATGTGTCTCATTGGTTTGATATTCTACAGGGTGGCCGAAAAAATAATGCATGCAACACGTCCAACATGCCCTAAAACAGTTTTTTTGACTCGCTGACTTCCAGAACTTGCCTACAGCTCATTCTACTTACGTGAATTACTATTTTGAAGCAATTACAAGTAAATTAGCCAAGGCACTAATACTTCATTACACGTCGGAGCTTAACTTCTAATCTCAGACAGCAATTATGGGTTTTGATGTATTAATCGATTTAAAACATTTTAATTTCCAGGTAATGAAAGACCTACTATAAGACAGAATTCAGTGACAGAATAATAATGAATAATAATAATAAAAATGAAAGTGGCCTATACTTGATGAAAATCCATATTAAAACTTACAGTGTTTTGTAAACTTTTCATAATGAAATTATTATATGTCACCAAACAATTGATAATATTTATAATTGAGAAGCCCGGCATATATATTTTTTTGTTTGATCCCCTACAATGCATGTATGATGATGATATTAATATTGATTTACGTTAAATATTGTACATGTTTTATCCATGTAATTGAACCAGCTTGGTCTGTTCGGATACAAATTAAGTGAATGAATAAATAAATAATTGAAAAACCTATTTATTGAAACTGGTTTAGTATCAAAACTGATTCGAAAAAAAAATATCTCACCTCCCAGAATGTCATCAAGGAAACTTCCGAAATAGTCATCGTCATCATCGTCGTCGTCGTCATCATCATCCGATGCAACACTGTCGTCATCATCGTCATCATCATCGGAAACGCCGAGATCTAACTCGCCATCGTCATCATCGTCGTCGTCATCGTCATCTTCAGATTGCCTTCCTTTGACCTGAAATGAGACAAAAAAAAAGGTTCATGAAAATATGAAGAAGTTGAAAGTCAAAAGAGTTATGAAGAAACTGAATCTTCACTTGGGGCAACTAACAGAAGCGTCATCAATAGGATACGTGATGAAATACATACTTTTATATAGCATCCCTTTTTAATGAGGGAGAGAGCTTTTGTTTGGGTGATAGCATACGTTCGGCAGAACGACATTTTCAAACTAATACAAACAATAGTTTGAAAACGTCGTTGTAGAATAATAATATTGCTGTCATTCTTGGCTCATTGCTCTTGCTCAGGGCACAGGATTCTCGGACCCAACGATCACTTACCCCGCGGTGTGGGGAGTGGTCGTTAGTTGATAATGCTAGCGCCCCCTTCCAAATGTAGATAGATAGATTCATTGAAGTTTTCGAATTGAACATATGAAAACTTAAGTCAGTAAGGTATAAATATGTAACTAAAATACAACAAAAGATAACAAAAGATTATCATCATGAGATCTAAAGCTTTACCCCTGATACTATGATGACACAACTTTTGTAATAAAACAGAATGGTCCACACAGTCAAAAGCTTTACTCAGGTCCAGAAAAACACCACAAGCCATAGAGTCTTGTTCTAGTAAAGAATGAATTTCATCTATGAAATCAAACAATGCTGTTTCTGTATTTGTATCGGGGCTTCGCGGAATAGGGTCTGACCAGCGCATACTACGGTAAAAAATAATAATCATGATAATAATCGACTTCATTTAGTATTTTAATATTAAATAATAGGCGAAGTTTAGCTATAGCTAATCTTACACTTAACCTAATATGCATTATAAGAAAATAGAGTAATTAGACAAAAAAATAGAAGAAATAGAAGAATCATTAGAAGTATACAACAAGTCACATTGTTTGAAATAAAAATTCAATTCTTCTGATCACAAATTGAATTTTGAAATGTGGATTTCGAGAATTGCATGAGATTTTTAATAACAGTGTTATGAAAAAATACAGCTACGAAGGACAAAGATTTTCTGAACATGGCTGATGAATGACGAGGGGTGTGTAGGTTTTGATTAGTTCTTACCTCTTTGTCGATTTATTGAATAGAGGAACAGGAATTTTAGATTTCAGTTCATAGTTATATTCCCTGAGAACGGACATTGGTACCTAACCAAGATTGGTACCAATATTATTGGTTGGGTGAACCAACCAATAATATTTTCCGTTTTTTGAAGAAATATTGCGTAAATGTAGCTTACAGAACGAATAATAGTCTAAGTAAAATTATTGAAAACAATAAAGACAAAACTTCGGTGTCGGATAGATCAGGAATATATAAGTCCATTTGTGGCTCTTGCCCAAAACTGTATATTGGCCAAGCAGGGAGAACATTTTCCTAAAGAACTAAAGAACATAGAAGAATTAAACCCGACTCTTCTATTTCTGTCCGAAATAAACTTTTATTTTATACCTCACGACGTGCCACGCGAACTTGATCAGATTACACGGTCCAAAAGTGAATGGGACTTACCATCATAGATATTGGAAAGATACATGTATTGGTGTCCTACAATCACTTTTAAATTCATCTAGGGATTTCTATGAATATCGTGACAAAATTAGTCAGTCAATTGTAACAATCTTTGTACTTTCATTTTCCCATAAAGGGGAATTGAAAGGTTACACAAGCAACCGTTGCAAATATATTCCTCTTATATTTTCAAGACTGTTTATATTTGCTATCCTGCATTTATGTTTTTCAGGCGGTCAAGGCAATTTTACCGGCCTATTCATGATCACAATTGTTGTTATTTTCGTCCATAATACCTTATTTCTTCCAACATCCACCCCTAAAACCTTCACAAATCACAATCAATAACATTTGTTTTTTCATATGAAAAATAAAATGCAAGTCAATAAACGGAGTGGCAAACATTTTACATCATTATTACTATCTCGGTAACGGTAAGAGATGCAATCTTTATTTAATCAGACTAAAGTAGTTTTTTGAATATGAAGAAATGAATAATGGAAGGCTATATTTTCTATGGGTTCCAAATACGTTATATTAATTTCAGTAAGTCCAAATAATTAATAATCAATTATTTTTGAAACATGCAAGTAATATATTATTTACACTGAAGAGGTGAATTTACCGGTTGATTAGTTCTTACCTCTTTGTCGATTTATTGAATAGAGGAACAGGAATTTTAGATTTCAGTTCATAGTTATATTCCCTGAGAACGGACATTGGTAGCTAACCAAGGTTGGTACGAGTTTGGGAAATATGTTCAAATTTACGTATTTCCAAGATTGAGCTAACACAAGAATTTTGCACACGTTGTATTTTATATCAATTAGCCGAATGTGAGAATGGACCATAGACATAAAACTGCAGTAACGTCAATTACAAATACAAGTGGAATAAAAACACGGACATTATCGTACATAATTCCTCTACAAACCCTCAGCAGCATAACGTTGCTGCATTCAATAGTATGTTTCAGAGACTACTGACTATTTGATCAAATAAATCGTGGTCAACAACGGTCAACAACTCCATTCTTTCCAAAAAACTACAAAAGCAAGCCATGGACCAGGTCTACCCGAATTCAAGAAACGATAACGTCAGTTATAGGACATTGTCATATTTGGGTGAACCAACCAATAATATTTTCCGTTTTTTGAAGAAATATTGCGTAAATGTAGCTTACAGAACGAATAATAGTCTAAGTAAAATTATTGAAAACAATAAAGACAAAACTTCGGTGTCGGATAGATCAGGAGTATATAAGGCCATTTGTGGCTCTTGCCCAAAACTGTATATTGGCCAAGCAGGGAGAACATTTTCCTAAAGAACTAAAGAACATAGAAGAATTAAACCCGACTCTTCTATTTCTGTCCGAAATAAACTTTTATTTTATACCTCACGACGTGCCACGCGAACTTGATCAGATTACACGGTCCAAAAGTGAATGGGACTTACCATCATAGATATTGGAAAGATACATGTATTGGTGTCCTACAATCACTTTTAAATTCATCTAGGGATTTCTATGAATATCGTGACAAAATTAGTCAGTCAATTGTAACAATCTTTGTACTTTCATTTTCCCATAAAGGGGAATTGAAAGGTTACACAAGCAACCGTTGCAAATATATTCCTTTGACATTTTGAATATTTTCTTATATTTTCAAGACTGTTTATATTTGCTATCCTGCATTTATGTTTTTNTCGATATACAATAATAATAATTATAATAATATTTATTCACCATTTGTGATACAAAGCGTATATATGGTAGGTCAATGATTGATTGAATGAAATGAAGAAAAAACAAATGAACACACGTGTTACAGTACGTCACTTATGAATGAAAAAATTAAAATTGCATTTGCATTTACACATATGAAATAATAAATAAAAATATGGCAATGTTGCTTGCTTATTCAAGCATGAATGATGAAAAGATCTTAGTTTACAAACTTTTATTCTCTAACAATAATAATTACGACCTACGCTCTAATCGGGTAATTAAGTCATACTTTCCGGTAGGTTGGCTTTCAAACCATTTTTTTGGCAATGTAGGGTTCAAAATTTATGGTTAAACTCATGTACCTCTGTGAACAAGTGAGTAGCATAGGTTGAGTTCAGTTTTCCGCCCTGAAAACTCTCTCTGTGTTCTTTCATGCGTACTTTAAATGGTCGTCCAGTTTGACCTATGTAAAACATAGGACAAGATCCACACTTCTGACACCAAATTTTCATCTTTGTTAATGTTCTGTAATGTTTATCCTCGCCATTTGAAATCGGTAACATTTCCTTTATGGCTTGACTGCATAATGTTTTGATACAGATTGCTGTCGTAACCTTGTTCGCAATATGTTTCACTAAAGGCAAAGGATAATTTGCTAATGTGCGGATCATAACGTTGAATATTACCGTCAGAACAGAACATGCTCATCTCCATGGAAGTTGAAGAGAACTGATGAAATCTAAGTTTTATAGTGAAAATTTTTCAGTAAACTGTATTGATGAGTTTGAAATTATTCACTCACCTTTCCCTTCGATTTCGGCTTCCTTTCGGCCACACCAACTTCGGTGTTTTTCACTTCCTGCTTTGCAACTGGCACTTCATTCGTTTCTACTGAAGGATCGGATTCAGGCTCTTTCACTTCAGTCTCTTTGGCTACTTCCGTAACCGTTGCACTTTCCGTTTTGAAAACACCTGGAGTTTCTTCTTGGATGACACCTTGTTTTTCGATACCGATTTCGTCACTGGGAGGTCGATCATCAGCCGTGAACGTTGTTATCGGGTTTGCCGTGATTCGAAGCAGGAGAACGCACAGGACTGCGCCGAGAAAGTATAGCTTCATTTCGAATCTGGAACAAACAGTTTGAAGATCAAGGCACCTTTGATTTAGAATGTAATATATTTATGGAGAGTCAATATTTAACAGCATTCAAGTTGAGAAAACATATAGTACGAGGTCGGTATTTTGGTTTCAATTCAGAGATTGCACCAGTTTTATTGAATAGTGCGTATTCACTGTACGAGGGTGGTAACAGAAGTACCCGGTCCAACAAGGAATACACAAATATTTTGAAAAAAAGTCATTTATTTTTCAACATAGTCTCCTTGCCGCTTTATACACTTTCCCCAGCGACGTTCAATAAATCCGATACCGTTTTTATAATAACTATGTTGGTCCTCAAAATAGCAATTGACTGCCATCAATACCAGGGCCAACATTGTTTCTCATCTACCTTAACGATTGGACAAGTATAAATATCTCAGGAAAATTCACACTATTTGCAGACGATACTACAATTTTTTGGCAATAGGGCGATGCCAATGATTTAACTAAAATCATTGAGAACAAAAGTAGCTCTAAATTTTTAGGAGTACATATCGATAGAATACTTAAATTTGAAGTCCACATTTATGCCTTGTGTAATAAAGTGTCGTCTGGTTGTTATATACGCAGTGAAAGTAGTCGCAAATGAACTTGGTTTAACAGAAGCTAAGACTGTTTATTTTTCTCTGGTGGAATCTCACCTGAGATATGGAATTCCATTTTGAGGCGTATGTAGTGGATATGTACCACAAAATATTTCAATTTTGCAAAAACGAGCCGTAAGATATATGTGCAAATCAAAAAGTAAAGACTCTTGTAGATTACTCTGTACCACTCACGGAATTCTAACATTGATTTCTCTCTTTATAATAGAAACAGTGTGTTCAATTAAGAAATATTTGAACAAATTTCATTATGTGACAAGGCAATCCAACAACATCAGTCATAAAGGATTCCATTGTCTATAGTGGTTGTAAATGTTCAACCACTTGCCAAAGAATGTAACGGAAATAAAGACTTTACAATGCTTCAGGAAGGCTGTGAAATAATGACTCATTGTCTTTTGAAATATAAATCGATGACTCTGATTTAATATGAACGCAGTGATGTCAACGATAACCCGATAAAGATACGAGAATCTTAATAAGAAAATTTATCGGAAATGTAGAGTAGCTCTTTACTCGTATATTAAAAATATTCTATTGATTACCTGTAAGGAAGATTCTTGGATATGAAGTGGAAAATCAATTGTTTTTACAGTACTATAAATTTTCCTCCCAGTGCTATCCTTATTTAATAACTTAGAGGACTGTATTACTTTAAAGTTAAAGGCATATTTGGACACTGGCTGTAAATCAAATTATATCAAAGGACAATTTGTTCAGGCACGTCTCAAATCACCTACACTGTAAGTTATTGGACTGACACTTATCAGAAAACAACTACTTTCCTGGCAAATACCACGAAGGGCTTGGATTATATCCGGCAGGTGTCAGGGCTGGATTCTTCACTGACACCTGTCGGATATAATCCAACGCCCTTCGTGGTATTAGCCAGGGGAGTAGTTGTTTTCTGATAGGTGTCAGTCCATTAACCTACTGTGTAGGGAGTTGAGACTGGCCTGAACAAATTGTTCTTAGATAATTTGATTTATAGCCAGTCTTCAAATATGCCCACTGACTATATGTGATTGTAACTTTGTAATTATCAGGATCTACATTACTTTTTCAACATACTTAGTTAACCCTGTAAATGGTTTTTAACTGTTGGGTAATAAAGGCTATTATTATTATAACCTCAAATTGTGAATAGATCTGCCTAACGTTCCGCATGCCGGAATATTAATATTTAAATTGACAGATATTTGGATTGGAATATAAAATAAAAGGTATTCACATAATAATTAATAAAATATTGATGAATTTCATAAAATCACCCCAATAACATACAAAGCAAGCGTAAAGATCCATTGTGATTGAAGTGTGATCTGTTTTGAGCTGTGTTACCACATCTTTTTCTAGTTTCTAAATATGCAGTGACGCTGAAAATCTCATTCGATATCAGAACTGAACGTTCTGAATGAGTGCACCTCGATTTTTCAATTACACCGCGAACAGAAAGTACTATTATAACGTTTCTGCTGGTACATGAGCATATACATTTAACAGTTAGGAAGCACTAATAGATTACGGCATTTCATTACCGTTCTCAGTAACAGTTCTAGGTATCTAGAGTGTGACTGGATATTGACGATTTGATCGACCCACTGATGCAGAAGTTCGGCCTTGAAAGAAAGTCACTCACAGTAGCTATTGTGTTAATGATAATAATAATAATAATAACCCGAAAATCCCGGATGACGTTCGAAGAGCCCTTGTGATGGAAAAAACTACCAAGCACCCAATTCCGGATTGGTTTGTCGAGGGGCGGACCGTTCTCATCCCCAAAAGCGGAGATTTGTCGATTCCTAAGAATTACAGACCGATAACATGCTTGAATTCGTGTTATAAGTTGTTTACAAGCATCTTATACACACGAATACTCACCGCATTTGACCGAGTGTTCGAATGGATATATGAGCAGAGAGGGTCGAAGAGAGGAGTCGCTGGATGTAAAGAGAACCTGCTCATCGATAGATGTGTAACGCAGAACTATGATCTCTCTATGGCCTGGATCGATTACCGTAAGGCATTTGATACAATGTCGCATGAGCTCATCTTGCATTTGCTCAGATGCCTTGCGGTACCAGACAGAATAGTGAGATCTGTTTAAAATCTGTTCAAAATCTGTTTTTCCGTTAATCAGCTGTCGCTTCCATACGAACGACAACTTTCAGTAGTTGTGATTCCTAACACAGATGCCTTGAACAACGGATACCACTCTGGCGGACTGGCTTTATCATAACATCTGGTCAAGCCAGGTCCAAACAGAGTGGGTCATTTTCAGAAGGGGTATACTTCAGGGAGATTTCCTCGGTCCCCTTCTCTTCTGCATCTCACTATTGCTATTATCCGTTGCGCTCAGAAATACTCGAGGGTATAACTATGGCACCCCCGGAAACCGGAGGCACAAGGTCACCCATTTGTTTTATATGGATGATCTTGAACTTTTTGCCTCTGGAGAGAAGGCTCTCCATCAGTCCTTGAGGGTGGTGGAAGAGTACACGTATGCTATCGGTATGAAATTCGGGGTAGACAAATTTGCAATGGTCCATCTTAAAAGAGGACGAAGCGGGGACTACGGAGAGAATGTGCAGTTCGTAGATGGAAGCAACCTACGCCATTTGGATGCCGGAGAGACGTATACTTACCTCTCTTTGGGGCAATTGCCTGAGCGGCTGATGAACTCAGTTCAGTTTTCGACACTGAGTGAGGTGATTACAAATCTCTCGCTGAGTTAGAACCTGTCCAGCAAAATGACCATATAAAAGCCGCGGTTCTCGTAAAACCCTTTATAGTGGAAGTCATACAATAAAATATCAACAAAGCTATTGTATAGCGAAACACGTGTCGCGGTTTTTGTAAAACCCTTTTTAGTGAAAGTCATACAATAAACTATACACAAAGCTATTGTATAGCGAAACACGTGTCGCGGTTTTCGTAAAACCCTTTATAGTGGAAGTCATACAATAAACTATAAACAAAGCTATTGTATAGCGTAACACGTGTCGCGGTTTTCGTGAACCCTTTGTAGTGGAAGTCATACAATAAACTATAAATAAAGCTATTGTGCGAAACACGTGTTGCGGTTTTTGTAAAACCCTTCATAGTGGAAATCATACCATAAACATCATATATCCGCCACTTCTATTCAATAACTGCGCTTGCTCAGGGCACATGATTCTCGGCCCCAATTATCACTCACCCGAATGTATAGGGGATTCGGGAAAAATTCCTGACCAGAGCAACCTTAGTGAAATAATAATAATGAAAATGACTGATTAATTTTCCAGCTGTTTTCCATCCACAGGATAATATACGTAATAATGCAACTCAATGAATATGGTAGGAAACAGAGCTAAAAATAACTAAAGAAAAGTGTAAGCACTTTTGAGGAGTTCTTTTTGAAAAAAAAAATGTGTTTATTTACATGCTCTAAAAAAGTTTTTGATTCACTCAACTGTACAGGTAAATTTAGCGACAAACTTTTATATCATATTACTTGTAGTGTAGTGTAGTGTAGCAAATTGACGTATTCGAATTAATTCAAAACTATTTTTTCTTTTTGGAGCGTGGTTGTTTGAAGCTTGTATTCAAAAAAGTTTTTCACCATGAATTCATGTTTAATTTTTAGTTCATTAGGTTAACCCAATCTAACCTAACATAACCTTTGGCAAACAAGAAAATTGGTAAGATAGCCAAATTGTTTTATTACATTTGGATTTCATTTTAAATTTTTTGAACCCTTCCTTTTGATACTCATATCATGTAGGTGCGTAAAAAGACATATAGTCCACCTTCTTTGGGAGTCCGCCATAATTTTTGATTAGTAATATTCTGTCAAAATTCCTACAGTTTCCAATAATAAATACATACACCTTCAGGGCTTCAGATTTTAATTTTTAGTATAGGTAAGAAAGGTGAATCTGCTGTCAATGCCAATGCACGAATTATGGAAATCATCAACGGTAGCTGAGGGCTATATAGAAATTCTTCTTCATAAAACTTTCCCGACTCTCGTCGAACGCAAGGAATTGTAATATTGTTAATTCTTGATTATGAGAATAGAATATTGAAAAAATATATATAATAAACTACCCATATATGATTCTAAAAACTGATTAGTATCTTGATCAATACAAATTTCGTTCTAGTTTTACACAATCCTTTCGTCAGTCGTGTAAATCAGAATTTGGTTTCACCACCACAAAAAGTGTCTAGGAATTTTTAATAAAGTCCAGAATTGTAGGTATCATGGAGTAAATGCGACATATAAAGGTTTGGAAGGGAAGATTTTGAATATGCAAACAAACATATTTTTAAACGTATATTCGAAGATATATGAGAATCATTTGAAACTTGTACCGAAAGAAGGGGTTTAATATTTAGTCAGGTGAATTTTGAGCCACCCGAAACCAGAATGGACCTTCATTTAGGTTTTAAGAAGCATCGAACATCAGAAATATTTAAATGAGGTCAGTTTTTTAGATATTATACATCACAATATCATTCACAAAATAAGTGATTGGCCTAATTCTGACGAGTTCTTTCTTTGAAAAGTGGCAAAACAAAACTGAGTAAGTAGTTTTACATTTCACCAATAATTTTGTGAAAATGACATTTTGCAGTCACTATACAAACTCTGTTTTTGGATTTAGATTGAAGATGTTAGCATGTGGAAATTTTTTATAAAATAGACTATTCTGGTAAAATATTTTAATAATATATCGACTATATATCCCATTTTTTCGCCTGGAAACTATTTTCTATTATTAATGTCTCACTTTACTACCAATTGACAAAATTATTCGTATTATTTATATGGTGATGAATGTAAGTGATTATCAATTTCTAAAATCGTCATCTTCTGTCATAATGATGATTCATATTATTCTGAATATGTTTAAAATCCAGCGTTTCTCAGAAAAAGAAAGGATATAGGTTCTGGTTTACAGAATATATCTTGTTGAACTATGACGAAATTCACTGTTGAATATTACTGAAGTTCTATACCAACTCCAAAACGTTATTTTTAACACCTTGACACGTGTTTTAATCACCAAGCGGTCATCTTTAACAGAAAGAATCATTAGTTTAATTTTCCTCTTGAAGATGATCACTTGGTGATCGAAACCCGTGTCGAGGTGTTAAAAATAACGGTTTGGTGTTGGAAAAAACCTCCAGTAATATTCATTACCACACCAAAGGTTCCGAACAGTGCATTACAAATTGATTTGTTATAATTCTTGCCCCATAAATATGCACTTAGATTTATGACTTAAACCTACTTCATATCAATCAATCAGTTAATCAATATATGCTTTATTGCCGGAAGATTAGTATCTTATTGACAAAGTCTTGTAGAAAAATAAAATGCATGTCATAAAATATAAAAAATACAATACATGTAATGAAGTATAAAAAATACAAACATCGCAATTTCACAAATAAAACATTAAGAAGACATTCACATTAGGTGAACATTGAAAAATCAAGTAGAATTTACAGGTTATCACTGTAGAATTAATTCATGGATCGAAAAATAAGATTTTTTGATTGAAAGATCTTCAACTGTACTTTGGAACTTTTTGATATATGTGCTATAAATCAGAGAATGCTGAGTCAAGACGAAATTTGGAATAGATAAATAAAGCATATGGTTCTGTCTGGTGTTGTGATAATTTGTTCAATGCTAATTCTATCTTTATGAATTGAGCATACTGGTTCCATCATATATAAATAGATGACAATTCATATTTTGTGGATGATGAATAAAGGCTTGCAGTGATCTCTCGGTTAAGACTTTGTAAGGTATCTCAAAGACCTCTTCTGAAGCACAAATATTGTATACTGTAACTGTAAATTACAATGGCCTCAGAAAGCTATTCCATAGCGAATATGAGATTCGATCAATGCAAAGTAAGCCATTCTAGCCCTAGTTCATTTAATATCACTCTAATAGCATAACATCCACTAGATACTTTTTTACTCAAATGTGATACATGTTCTTCAAAATATAATTTATTTTCTATGTGAATGCCTAGGGCAGAAATTCAGTGTGCTGTTTGTTTTCTATGTAGTGGTTATCCAAATCTAAATCGTCTAGTATACATTTGAAAGTAACTAGTTTTGTTTAGGTTGAAGCACAAGGAATTGGCGTTACATTAGGCTTGAATTTGTTGAATATCTAATTTTATCATATTTAAGAGCTGATTCATTTCTTTATTACTCCATATATTAGTGGTATCGTCGGCAAATACACTAAATCGTCCTGTGATGTTAATGGTTATTAGGTCATTTGAATATATTAAAAACAGGCCCTAAAACAGGTAAAAACAAAACAAACTATAGTTGTTGAACCTTAACTATGTGAGAAGAACGAATTTTCTTTTTTTGGCTCATGATCTAGAACAAAATCGTATCACCATTGCCTCAATGGGGTTAATTTTATTTCCGAATATATTTGAATTGACATAATTCATTGATCAAAGTTTCTGAGTTCGGATTTCGATTTTCATTTGTGAAATCGCTTTCTGAAATTTTTTTTCCATTCAGAGAACATAATTTATTATCAGATATATTTTAATCAGAAATAAATTCCTAGAGCTTGTTTTCTCACTGTATACGAGTGAAAATGTTCACTACGAGCTTCAACCAGTTTTTTTCTGAATTATTATTCATAGGAACACACACATATATCACGAATCGATTCGAACCACCCGTAGCAACATGAATTCCGGGAAAAAAAACACTTTTTCCTGCTCCCTCTCATCGAAATTCCTGCTCTGTCACTAAATCACCATTCGAATACTTTTCCCAAATTCCTATCGACGATCTCATTATCATTCTTCGAAGAAAAGAACTTGACTTACCTACCACCGGATCCAATAGTAGGTCAAACGCTACAAAACGCACTGTAACACTTGTTTAAAGTCAAAGAACCAAGAGCCGCAAGTGCTACGACCTGATCTGACCGGAGGACGAGAAAATCACACACAAATACTGCTTCCTCGGCTCAATTTCACTTCTTATACTCGAAGTGACGTCACTGATAGATGAACTGTTACCACCACTTATCGCCTCATCAGCTTCATCATCTCTTAAAGAACGCGATGCTACTGATATTCCGTAGATAATATGGGTAGGAGAAATGGTAGAAGGTGAAAGCAGGAATTATAAATATTATACTGAAAGAAAAACGAATATACATTCTAAACAGGGATGTTATTTTTGGGGAAAAAACACTTTTTGGCTCTACTTCCTCATCATCGAAAAACCAATCACTCCTAAAAATATTTCCTTTTCTATTTGAATGATATTCCTATGGCTGGGTATAGAGTCAAATTGTTTCGAAATGAATGGGTGAATCATCTTGTAGTATTATCCAAAACAAAACAAAACTTTGTTGATAAGGTGATAAGACAAGTTTCGTGTCCCTGAGCTTCGAAGTACACCTCTAAGGATAATGATTGAGGTAAAGAATAATGGTTGCATTTGAAACAAACTTCTATAATCGGTAGTTTGCACTGCCCATTAGCTATAATCGACAGTGAAAACTGTCGACAATCTTTAATCGACAGTTTAAATTGTCAATTACAGCTAATCAATAGTACTATGAAATGAACAGTTCAAACTATCGATTATCTATAATCGACAGTGAAAACTGTCGATAGTCTACAATCGACAGTTTAAATTGTCAATTACAGGTAATCGATAGTACTAAAAAATCGATAGTTCAACCTATCGATTATCTATAATCGACAATTTGCATTGCCCATTAGCTATAATCGACAGTGAAAACTGTCGACAGTCTACAATCGACAGTTTAAATTGTCAATTACAGGTAATCGATGGTATTATAAAATCAATAGTTCAAATTATCGATTATTCATAATCGACAGGTTGACACTGTCCATTAGCTATAATCGACAGTCTTTAATCGACAGTTTAAATTGTCAAAATTGTAGCTAATCGATAGTACTGTAAAATCGACAGTTCAAACTATCGATTATTTATAATTGACAGTTTGCACTGCCCATTAGCTATAATCGACAGTTTACACTGCCTATTAGCTATAATCGACAATGAAAACTGTTGACAATGTTTAATCGACAGTTTGAATTGTCAATTACAGCTAATCGATAGTACTATCAAATCGACAGTTCAAACTATCGATTATCCATAATCGACAGGTTGCACTGTACATTAGTTATAATGGACAGTGAACACTGTCGACAGTCTTCAATCGACAGTTTGAATTGCCAATTATAGCTAATCGATAGTACTATTATATAGACAGTTCAAACTATCAATTATCTATAATCGACAGTTTGCAATGCCCATTAGCTTTAATCGACAGTTTAAATTGTCAATTACAATTACAATTACTATCGATTGTAGCTAAACGAATATACATAGTCGATTATTGGAACAATCATATGTAGATAATCGATAAATTGAATAATCGATAAACCATATTCGAATGTTTTAACTGTCTATTGTATAGAATCGGCAGTTCGAAATATCTACAATCGACAGTTTGACGTTTGAACTACCGATTATGAAAATCTCTGCATAGCTTTCTCCATAATGTGTGATATCACAAAAAAACTTCTAGTTATTCAAAAGTAATAAAAGAATGTGATATTACCGATTTACTAACTTCTGGTTCAGTAATTACTTAATATTTTCCAGAACAAAAGAGATTGTGACAAACGGTATACTTACCGTTACGGTTATGGTTACCTTCTACATATCTATAAAATAAGCGGAATATTTAATTTAAAAATGAATGCAAATGTAGAAAGGGCAAAAAATCACTGCATTTGATGAATTACCTTTTTGACAAAAATTCTAATTTGTCAGTTACTTGAATTTATAAAATTTTGCATATAAAAATAAATATGTATCATCTGGTGAAGTTATAAAGACTGTCCATTTTCTTTATTCATTATAATTTGTGGTTACAATTCGTCTTTTGATGCAAATCAATTTGAACATCTCAAAGTCGGGAAGAACCGCGCTCAAACTTTTGCATTGTTCGACGTTTCGGCTTCGACTTTGAAGCCATTTTCGAAAACTAGAAAAGTGTGGCTGTACTGAGATTCTTTTGATGTTCTTTTGATGTTCTAGTCTTGCCAAACCTTTGAGACGGTATGACCCTCATTGACCCATGTTTCATCCTGATAAAAAAATTGATTTATCCAGTGTTCTGGCTATCTTTATTTTTCTCAAATAGTTTGTTACCTAAAAAAGTAAGAAATACTCTACTCCTACTAAAAAAGTAATTTTCAAAGATCCAGTTACGAAATTATTTCATTGAATTCACTTGAATTATTGCAGAAAATGGAAAGTTGTTGAAAGAAAAATTAGCAGACTTTCCTATCAATATTTGAAAACCGATTCACTTTCTCGAACAACTAATTTACGTACATGCAGCACCGAGTGACAAAATTTCAGGCCGCATTTTTAAGACATGAGTTGAGAATATTAATAGTGGGTTCAAGACAATGAAATACTTCCGTTGAATTTGGTGCTGCGATTTGATCAGTTCGTATTTACGGATAACAGCCGTTGCGGGTCGCGACCCACATAACAAACTCAGGCATGGTTGTTGTGGCTAGAATACACGTTACCGGTTATTATGTTCCCAATTTTGTCCTATCGTGGCCTCGGTAAAAAAAATTATATTGATAAATTAACCAACACTCCGTATATTGTTTCGTTCATGGATCCAGCGGTACAGGCACCGCGCTCTTAGATGAGCGCCTTGAGAATTTTCCTGTAGTGCTTGAAAAAAAGGCCTATTCAGCATGGAAACTAGGGAAGGGGCCATCAAATTAGTGAATGAAACCAAAAGCTTCCGAGAAAATTATATTCAGGCCGCTCCACATTGTCGAGTAACTGAATCACCCTGAGACTTTCGACTCACCCTGTATAACAACAGCATTGCTTTGATAGATATTATGATTATTTTCTTGAAACAAATTGAAATTTTTAATCAATTTTGAACTTTGAACTTTATCAATCTCATAAAGTTTTTGTAAGAATCATCGGATCTGAAATTATTTCAATCATATACGATCATATACAATCATTTACTATACAGCGTGACTCACGGTCTATGGTAGGTTAGACGTTTCTGGAAAACGCAAAGCATGATTTTTCTGAAAATTTCACCTCTCACATTTCCTTACCTGTTCTATCGATCTAAAATATTTTCAGCATTGCGGCGTTGCCACTTCTATCAAAAAGTCCTAGCAATTATATTTTTTTAAATGGAACACCCCATATATTAATACATTTTTGGAATTGCTCTAGTAATTTAATACTTTTTTGTTGATAATGTCCTATACCTATCTCTATCTGTTTTCGAGATAAAAAATAAATTGTGCTAAATATGGTCCAAAACCTAGCCTTAATTGAAATGAAGTACATCAATTCTCTTAATAAATGAAAAGTTGATATTTTGATGATAGTTTGGACAAATTCGAAATATTCAAATAACTCCAAGAAATCGACTCCATATCATACAGGGCGTGCTAAAATTACTATTATTTCCATTGTGCATAAAAGTAGTCGAAAGTTCATTTTTTCAAATGAAACCCCCNGAAAATATTTTAGATCGATAGAACAGGTAAGGAAATGTGAGAGGTGAAATTTTCAGAAAAATCATGCTTTGCGTTTTCCAGAAACGTCTAACCTACCATCGACCGTGAGTCACGCTGTATATACGAGGTTTGTCAAAAAATATTAATTTTTGTCGAGAGTGAATAAAATGCCTAGATATTTACCTCTATTTTTTAAGTATTGAAAATTCAAGATCATGTATGGTTTATGAAGAATTTTCAATATGAACGGGATATTAGAATTTTAAAGCTAATCATCCACACTCTATACTTGAAAATTTTTGATTTTGTACAGGACGCCACTGGCATGAAAATAAATCAGACTCATTGAAGTATAGTCTATAATTACTTTTTCAAAAAAGGGTCATCCAAAGTAAAAGTAAATAATCTTCATGTCTTCAAGATTCTTTTAATCAATATAATACTCGAAAAATCAAGTTCTATAGGAGTGGTCTCCAGAATTTTCATAATCAGAAACCAAACTATAGAAAGTTTTTAATGATATTCCGATAGCATTGTCCGAACTCTCGGTTAATGGGGGTGGGGTCATTGATGAATTTTTAAAGTATCTCGAATATGAACGATCCAAAATAAATCTGTGAAAGTGAAAAATAAACATCGGAAGACAATAAATTAGTGGTTCAAGAACAAAGCGTTGGAAAATTATTTAGGAGATAATTCTAACACCACAGTTAAAATTGAAAAAAAATTTCAAATTCAGCCAAAAATTGGATAAAGACAGGACATTAAGTTTTTTGCAATAACTATTTAATAAATATTTGCACTTTCACAGAACTTACAGAACAGACATTAAGTTTTTTGCAATAACTATTTTAAAAATAGTTGCACTTTTACAGAACTTTTAAACGCAGTATACTGAGAATTTGAATTATATACAACAGAACTTGAACAGATCAAATGCATTTCTCGGGCCGTCCATGGATTTCTTCATTCTTGGGAACAGGAAAAAGTAACAGAGGGGCAAATCGGGTGAATACGGTGGCTGAGGCATGATTACAGTGTTGTTTTAGGTCTAAAAATTAGGAACAAGCAATGACGAGTTCAAAGTTCAAAATCGAGTTCAAAAGTCGTAATGTTCAAGAAACAAATTATAAAAATATGCGGCCATTCTGCGTTTCCGCACTTATCTCTTTATATTTTCAAAACGGTTACCTTTGTTCTATTTATTTCATTGTATTATTATGAAATATGATAACTAAAAAGAGTTTCCTTTGTTCAAATGGTCGGGCCTATCTACGACTACAGAGTTTGTGTACTAATATATACGTCAAACATGTGTTTCAAGTGAAAACTTGAAAAATGTATGGGAGTAGAAATTCACGGACACCGGCTTTCGTTGTGAAAGAATTTGAGGTCAAAAAACGACCTTCATTTTG